ATAAAAAAATTCACACACACGTCACATATATATGCTTCGTACTCAAAATCTTTTAGTTGACAGTCAAAACTCCTAACCAACAGATCAAGATGAGTTACATACATTAAGCTTTTAATTTCAATTACATTTAAAGTTGGTTGTGGTTATCATTGACTTCAACATTAAAATAAAATTAAAAAAATAAAAAAAAAAAGTGAAAAAAAATTAAGAAAATTGATGACCAAATAAAAATGTGTCACTTTTATTATAACTCCACTAAGAAATCCCATTCAATAGATGCTATGAATAATACTAAGAAAACAAAGATCTATGCTCTATAGCCCTATTGTATTATGCATGCATCATCATCATCATTCCCTTGATAGCTCAACATGCAAAGAATTAAAAAAAATAAATTTGTTCTAACAACTTAAAAAAAAATAAAAAAATAAAGTCTTCAGTTTTTATTGTTCCTTTTCACTATCATCACCTTTATCAAATGCTCTTGATGGCCCAGCCTCAGGATCAACACCCTTTACATACTTCCCACGCCGGCGCCGATCAAAAGCCTGCCATCCCTCAGCCTGCCACAAATAAAATTTCACATTAGTCATAATGGAAAGCATATGTAGAACAAAACAGCAAAAGACAAGTAAATTTAGGCTTCGTTTTGGACGGCTTTTTTTATGCTTCTTAAAGCAGATTTTTAATACAAAATTAAAAAATTTTGTATTGAAATGTTGCTTTAAGAGGTAGAAAGAAAGTCGTCCCAAATGAAACTTTATTGACGATTAAGAACGTGAAGATTAATCAGCAGAGAATTTCAATACCTGACGAAGATACTCATTGGTGATTTGTGTGCCATAAATACTAAGAACTGATAGTTTTTGGCAAAATTTGAACAAAGTTGAAGGAAGCGTTTTGAGGTTATTGAGACGCAGCTGCAAAACCTGTAAAAGAAAAATGTCTAATTTTAAGCAAGCGAGAAGCTGAAGTCCAAAATCACAATTGAAATACAAAGATTGGTGCAACTAAGGCTTCGTTTGGGACGACTTTCTCGCTGCTTCTTGAAGCAGCTTTCTAGTACAAAAAAATTA